AATTTGATCTCACATAGATAATTCTTTCTTTTTTTTTTTTTTTATCTTAGATGAAGGTTTTCAGAACAAATAGTTTCTCATTAAACAGTTAGTACACATATTGCCCTATGACAGTGGTAAACAACCCCATGACATGTCAACACTGTCTTCAGGGGGTATTTTGGTTTAAGGTTTAAAGATTATCTCAGGGCAATACTTTAGGGGGATCATCCAGCCTCCATGGCTCCAGAAAGTCAGGATTTAATAATAATTTGGAATTCTCTTCTGCATCATCCCTGTTTTGATGAAAGATTCTTCTATGGAGTCTTCGATCAAGACGTATCATGTTTTTTAACTAATCTATTACTATAAAAACTAGTTGCTATTGTTGACTCTGACACCAGGTTTGTTAGAGTAGAACTGTGCTTCATAAATTTTCCATTGGCTGATTTTTTTTTGGAATTAGACTGTCAGGACTTTTTTTAGAAGCATCTCCAATGTTTTGTTTAACAGCCAAACATGTTAACCACTTGCACCACACAGGGATTCCATCTATTTTTATATGGCTTTCTATATTGTATTTCCAAATACTGCAATGAATGTGGAACTATAAGAACTACCTCTGGCTCAAAATCTGGAAATATAGGCTCTAATTATCTGTAAATTTAGAGTAAGTTTTAATACAATGTAAGTATCCTAGGCCTAAGCATTATTGGGTATGCTACCTTACCACTGGCTTGCTCTAAAATCCATCTCAGTCTTTACTTTGACCAATACTGCAAGCGACTGCCTTCTCCAAGTTCCCCGAGCTTCTGTCTTCTAGATAGGTTTGGCCAATGGGAATGACTGAATTAAATTTGGAGGGTCTAAAGAGTGAATTAGTCAGGGTATTTCTTCCCTTTTCTCTCAAGCATCTCCAACAGAAAATGTGTATCCTCTGTACTTCCAGTTCATGGTGGACAGCACCTCTCCCTGTGGTTCAGATCCTGCTATGCAGCTCTGTCTGACCATGATTATATGCTGTGTCAGATGACTCAGATTCTGCCCAGGTAAAACTACCTCTTTATGTTGTCCCTCAAGCGTAAGAAATGGTACTGGATTCCTGATGTTGCTAATCTTTGGGATGCCTCACCACTTTCTGATCGGCTTTTCATCTCTCCCATTATGTGTTACCTAATGCCTTGATGAACCAAAAATACTTAATGCTTTCCTGCCTGGGTCTAGACTGACATACCCTACTTAGAACATATGTTTTGTTACAGCATATGCCACTCTCTGGAAGTGAAACAAATTAAATGGCCATATGTAGTTTATTATTTTATATCCAAACAGAATCTCAATACAAATCGATATACAAAATATCATTTAGTAAATGCAATAAACTAAAAATTACATCTTAAGTGTTTTCTGTTTGTTATTAATACTTACCAGGGCGGGGGGCTACTGCAGGTGGAAAATTTCCACTGTTAACACTGCCACCTAGCCATGATTCATCTACACTTCGGCAATCTGGAGGTAAATAGGTAGGGTTACAATGACAGTTCTTTTTATTATTGCATACCTGAAACCAGGAGAAATAAGACATCATAAGAGAAGCAACTACAATTATATATGTTCAAGTAGAATTACAAAATAATACCTACATCAGATAAGGTATGTGTGTGTGTTTGTGTGTGTGTATGCAGCTGTGTTTTTTTTCAGGAATCAGTCTAAATGATTTCTATTCTCATCTCATAGCACTGGTACTTACACCCTGGTTATGGCATTTTTGTGGAGTACAGTCATAATTCAAGTATGAGGAATCCACACATTCCTTATTCCTGCAAACCTAAAAAGGAAATTAGTCAAAATAAGATATCTGGCATGCCATCTGGATTTATCATCAGATTAAATGGATTCCATACTATACTAGCATGAAATGTATTAATGAATGTACTAACAATAACTGATTAATTTATAGTGCTACAATGTTTCCAACATTAGATGAGACTTTGATTATACAGGAGTAAAGAAAACAATAGCAGCCTGTTCCCTGCTTATAAGAGGGATAGGAGATACAGATATGAAGTAAGTCAAAACACAGATAAACATGCAATAAATGCTATCATAAAAAATAATTTTTATATGATAGTATAAAATATGCAGAACTTATCTAATATGTCCAACAATAAAACCTTCTCATTGAGCCCTGATGGTAAATATGACTTAATCAGAAAGAAATGAAAGATAAAATATTTATAGGAAAATAAACAATTTTAAAATGGGCTTACGGTAGAAAATTGTATGTAATCTTTGAGAAATATAAGGGGCAGTGTGGCTGTTGTACAGAGAATGGGCATTCAACTATTCATTAAAAAAACTGAGTCCTACAATGTACCTAACTCTGGGGACACAGCAGTGAACAAAACCAACTCTCTCATGTTGCTTATATTGTAGTGAAAGGGATAGAAACATACAAATAGAAAAGCTAGACATGCTTTGAGAGAAGTTGTTACTGGAAAGGTGGTGAAGAGTTTTACAGTCTTCTCAGAAAGTTGGCCTTTAACCAAAAAACAATAAGCTCTATTAAGAGATTTAATTAGAAAGAGGAAGGTTTATAAAGGTAGGTTTTGGAAAAGAATGGAAATGGCAAGTGAAAATGTGGAGACAAATTAGAATGCCATTACAATAGTCCGAGAAAAAAATAACTGTAGCATGAAATTGAGTGCTGGTGGTAGACATGGAAACCAGTGGATATCTTTGAGAGAGTTAAAAGGTTTAATCCTCCTGAGTTCAGTGATGGATTGTTTATGGAGGATACAAAGAGACATGTGTCAATGCCATCAAGGTCTCTGGCTTGTCTAACCATCTTGGTGGTGGTACAATTAACTGAGATAGGGAATGTTAAGCCAAAAAAGCTCAAAAGATTAGAAAATATTATTATTTTAGGGGCCTTTTATAACCTATAATAGTGCATAATGCTTTGCTTCAAATTAAAATAAATGTCTAATTTAAGCCTTTTTCTGGCTACCCGGGTGGCGCAAACAGTTAAGCACTTGACTACTACTAACCAGAAGGTTGGTGGTCAAACCCACCCAGAGGCACCTTGGAAGACAGACCTGGCGATCTGCTTCCAGAAGGTCACAGCCTTGAAAACCCTATGGAGCAGTTCTACTCCGCTTACCTGGGGTTGCCATGAGTCAGAATTGACTCTACAGCAACTAATGATATCAGCAACAAAAAGACTCACTGTGACGCATTGTGGACCAAACAGCATGTAATTGGAAATATTATTTTTATTAAAAAAAAAAGTCTACTTAAGAGTATTGATGATATTTCTTTGGAATTATTTTCTTCTTAAAATATATGACTAGAATATACTAATTCTTAAAGTGAATCTGTTCACATAATTTTTGCATTATTGATGGTGTCTGATATTTATGGGAACACTTACCTCTGCTTGAGTCTTAGAAGAAAATATACTAATGATAAATAGTATAAAAGTTCTAGTTCTGGATACAGACTAATGTTACTATACTTAGAAATGTACCTGTTCTGTTTTATTATGCCTTGAGAGCTAGCTGTAACTTAGGCAGAGAAGTTAGATATATAAGTTGCAAAGCTGTGGTTCCGGAGAATATAAACCAAATTCTTGGAACTGTTAATTTGTTTAGACCAAAGAAGAAAGAAGTTGTGGAGTTGTTGGTAATATTGGTATTCTTTCTCTGCAATTTTTTTTTCCAACTTTAACATGTCTGCAGTAGAACGCTTACTTTAGTTATATCATGCAAAAAAATTAGGGCAATAAGCATCCAAAGTAGGAATACAAAGCCATAGAAGTTATTTATCACCATATACAAATAATATTATATGAAGAAAACAACAATATATCTATGGATCTTCACCAAACTCTTTAAAACAGATTTATTTTTATTTACTTTGAGATAAAAAAGGTAATGCAGCCTTCTGTTCTAGTCACGATGGCAGAATAGGCTTCCATAAAAACCTTCTTGGTATAGAGAATGTAAAATGGTGACTTCATAACAAAATGTGAACATAATATTTTTTACAAAGTTATGGCTGTGCTGGTGAGAAAGAAAGAATAATGCTTAGACTCAGAACATATGAGGAAGTGTGATTCCACAAAAGTAACCAAAACATTGAAGTCAGCATTCCTCCAGTGGCCATCAGTAGCCAAAGTCTTAGGATTTAACTGATCGTGTGCACTCTAGACCACTGCCAGTGAAATAATGCCCAGAGAACTTTATAAGTAGGTTTTACCAAATCCTCAAAAAATAGGTAGTGTGTGTTTCATATTCAGTTCTTCTGAGAGTAGGATAAGAGGTAAAGTCACAAAACTCATGTAATCAGAATACTGTATCTTTTATCCAACTCAGTCAAGGACAATCTAAACATATATGTATATCAAGTTAATTTCTGCAGTGTAATGGAGCTGTACTCTGCACACGAGGTCTCCATGAGTCAACTTCATAAAATAAGAAAATCTGGCTAGTAATACTTTAATAAGTCTGGAATTATTTTAGTGATTAAAAGCTTATAATATGGACCAGTATACACCAAAGAGCCAAGGTGATCTAACCACAGAAAGAAAAAAATTCTGCAGGGTATGAGAAAAACACATATATGTATATATATAAATATATTCATTTTTTTCCATGATTAAAAGTGTGAGGGAAGAGCAGAATATTTATTTAATACATAGAATAAAGAGATTAAATGTGAATGAAACACGATAAACCAAATTAATATGGACATAAATGATTTGATAACATTTAAAATACATTTATTATAATTAAAAAAAACCCTATGTGCAAAATGAGAAATAAACGGAGCATCCTCAACAAACATAGTTGGAAATACCATACACTTTGGACCATTAAAATTGATTAAGGCTGGGGTTCTCTTTAGGAAAGTCAGTCTAGGTGCTTCAGATTAAGTCAGGTCACTTCCAAAATCTGGTTCATCTTTACTGGTGTGAATAGGGTAAATATTCAAGATTTTATTCTTTTACATGAACAGAGAGATAGTTTATATTTCAGCAGGTTAAAACCAGTTTCTCTTTTCCATTACGGAAGATCATTTTCAGAGACAATTATAAATTATTTAGCCCACATTTTAAAAAGCTTCTTCTATTCTTTTAAGTTTCTTACTTAAGGAAACATAAAATAAAACCAACGCGTGGCACAGAGTTCATGTTTCTCATCATCTCTGTTTTCATTGGAGATGCCATTTCCCTCATGTCCTCTCTGGTGTAGATAGCCAAAGTGGAGATGCCAGATTGTGGAAATGATAACAATAAGCTGGGCTTTTCTTGTCTCCATCATATCCTCCTATGACTCCGTCAGTGGTTCCCTTGATCATGCATTGATATTTCCCATCCTGATCTTCATCAAATATTTTAATGAGTATATGTGCTTACTTGTGTGACAAAACATTTTTTTACATCAGATTTTATGATTATATAAATTATAATGTATACATGATTTTATGCTCATATCTATCTATATATAATTATATAGCCTACTTGAATTTCTAGATCAAGACTCAACGATGATGGGTTTGTTTTTTTATAGGTGGTAATGTTTACAGCATCTTTTTATGTCTAGTCACCAATGTTTGCAGCTGTTTCTTTTCATTTTGAGTCATGCCACATCAGCAAATGAAGGTCCCAAAAGCTTGGCTCCATCCATGTCATTAAGGTCGACTCTACTTTGAGCTTAAAGTGATTGCCAACTGGAAGGTTGGTGGTTCCAAACCACCAGTGGCTGCTTGGAAGAAAGATGTGGCAGTCTGCTTCCATAGAAATTTTAGAGCCTTGGAAACCCTATGGGGTCACTAGGAGTCGGAATCGACTCCCCATCAGTGGATTTCTACTTTGAGGATGCAGCTCTTCCCTAGTCATATTTTGAGTGCCTTCCAACCTGCGGGGCTCATCTTCCGGCACTACATCAGACAGTATTCCACTGCTATTCATAAGGTTTTCACTGGCTAGTTTTTTCAGAAGTAGACTGCCAGGTCCTTCTTCCTCATCTGTCTTAGTCTGGAAGCTCTGCTGAAACCTGTCCACCATGGGTGACCCTGCTAGTATTTGAAATACCAGTGGCATAGCTTCCAGCATCACAGCAACATGAAAGCCACCACAGTACAACAAAATGACAGACACGTGGGCCTGCAAAAGACTTCTTTAAAGTGTTGAAAAGCAAAGATGTCACTTTGAGGACTAAGGTGCACCTGACCCAAGCCATGATATTTTCAATCACCTCATATGCATGTGAAAGCTGGACGATGAATAAGGAAGTCTGAAGAACTAATGTCTTTGAATTATGGTGTTGGCAAAGAATACTGAATATACCATGGACTGCCGGAAGAACGAACAAGTCTGTTTTGGAAGAGGTACATCCAGAGTGCTCCTTGGAAGGGAGGATGGCCAGACTTTGTCTCACATTCTTTAGACACGTTATCAGGAGGAATCAGTCCCTGGAGAAGTACATCATGCTTGGTAAAGTACAAAGTAAGCGAAAAAGAGGAAGACCCTCAAAAAGATGGATTGACACAGTGGCTGTAACTGTGTTTTCCTTTGGTTGTGAGGATGGCACAGGACCGTGAGGGGTTACGATCTGTTGTACATGTGGTCCTTATGAGTCAGAACTGACTCAACAGCACCTAATAACAACAGTCACCAGTATCTGAGAGTTGAAATAATATGCATAGAATCAGAGATCTCTTGCTTTGCTGTTGTTGTTGACAAAGGGAATTTTCGAATTTATTGGGATAACATGTTCATTCTAATCTAAATGAGCATTTGTATATGAAATACTTAAAAAATAT